GGACAAAGATCCTGGCCTTACGGGTGGACAGCTGCTCCTCAGGAACACCAGATAAAGGAGACAGTTCCTAGGAAGATGGAGTATATTGTTAAAGTAGAGAACATTACTTAAGAGGTAAGGATGATGCATAGGAAGCATTTAACATAGTAGCTAGCAGCATTATGTACATTTTAAAGTACAGAATGTACATTGCAATACATGTATATGACAATAAAACACACATAAATAAAAAAATTGACTTCAGGGAGTCAAGTGTCACAAAGTCAGCTATGGCCTATCTCCAAGCAGATGTTAGGATCTCAGTGTTTCACATGTATTTTTGCAAGATTTAATACGAAGGAGGTGGCCAGTTAAAAAGATGTATCACAAGAAAGATGTTTAAAATGTTGCAAAAACACCTGTAAAACACTGAGATTACATCTGTTTCTAGATTACCTTTGGCCATAAGGTAATGCCACTTTCAAACAAGATAGAGAGGACTTTTTGAATTAAAATTGAAATAATAATTTTACTTCAATTAGACCTCTGCTTGCAAAAGGATTCATTAAAAGTTCTCTCCAAGCAGACGTTGGTGGGGAAGATTGTGACCTTTCTATCATCTGCAGCCCTGTTTTCTGTCATCAAAGAAAGGTAACAATCTCCCCCACATGTACATGCACCAACCTCTGAGAGTATGAAAAGATCAGTGCCACCCTATGTTATATGTAATTTCTAAACATTTAAGGCTCAACAAGGAAGAACAGGGCACTATGACCTTACTTGAAAAGATACAAAGTATGTGCCTCCGTATGAAATCACTATATAATATGACATAGCATAATTCTACTTATCACAAGTTACATGTACTCAGTCATATATGCAAATAACAACACAGGACATACCACTTTTTCCTCAAAGGGGGTGATCTGAGTTTCTTCATTGGTAGTTGCTGATGGACTGGTCTCTTGGGATAAATTCCTTACACAGGCAGCAGCTCTGATCGTTCCAAAAGTTATGCAAACAGAGTATTAGCTTTGATCTGCTAGGTT